AAAAAATATCTTCATTTGTGTTCCGAAGACGAACGAAGGTCTTACGGGGTTGGTACAGCATGGGGGTGAGTAATTAATGACTTAATTTTCATTTTTGGGTGAACTAACCCTTTAAATGCATTATTTTCACACAATCCACAGACTAGCACACAACTGAAGTTATTGCATGCAGAGGCCAGACAAACTCCAAACAGGAAATGGTCAGTTTGATGACGGTTACTTTTCTGAAATGAGACATCCTTGATGATCTATCTAGTCAACAAACGCAGCCTCCAAATTGAGACACAACTGAACTGAAGACTATACCTGTTTGACAATGTTCAACAGTGCTACTGTGGATAGTAGGGTTGGACTCGAGTACTCAGAAATGACACCAATGATCAATCATAAAAAACAGTTTGTTTACCAGAAAACAAAGACTAATAAAGAATATCAATGTATGTGCAGACGGTGGAGCTCACATGATCTGCTTCCTGATCCGTTGGGTTCTGACAAGAATTGGACTGTAGAGATAACCAAATCACCTTGAGCACTCTCTAGTCACTCCGAACGGTCATTTTTCATGTCAGTAAACGAGAGAGTCTATCTTGCTTTGAAAGAATACTCAAGTGCTGAGCTAGTTACTTTTAGGGGACTTGCCATTTTGCTGATGTATTTCATCCTTACGCAACACTTCCTACAATCCCTGCCAGAGCGTTCTGGGGTTAAGAGTCTCGCTAATGAATGCAATTGTTACACATCAAGATTGTCATCTCCTTAATACAGTCTCCCACAACCCAGTTACAGTGACTTATCCTTAGGATTAAATTGCTGTCCTTCACTTTAGCAGCCAAGATCCTTGACCTTCTGAATGCTACAGAACGATCTGTCCTTATCCGTCCGTATTTTATCCGTATTTTGTGAAAACCATGTTTGTTTATTCAGGGTGATATTTTCAGACTTTAGGTGTTAAAGAGTGATTGGATCACGATTCCATTGACAAGTCCTTTGTTTCTTCCAGCACTGTGACATCAGCCGTGTTCACCGTGGGGGACAACGTGGTGTCTGGAAGTGACGACCGCACCGTCAAGGTGTGGGACCTGAAGAACATGAGATCTCCGATTGCTACCATTCGCACAGACTCAGCCGTTAATAGGTAAGAGCTGCAGTTTGGTGAGGTGTAAGACAGCTTCCTGAGACTTTAGTCTCTGAACAAGTAGAGGCAACACTGGCTCTTTTTTAGAAAATTGAGAAACCGTATTCCTCAGTAAAGTCAGACTATACCAGAATTAGCTTGAAAGATTTGGATAATATTTTTGGTTGGTAGTTGATTGATATTTACTCTTGGTGTAAACAGTATCTAGCTCAATTCCATTAAAAATCAACGAATAGCATTTTTACACTAAGTGCAAGCAGTGATCACAAAGTGTTATTTGTAAATTGTCTAACTGATGGGAATGAAAATAGCCTTTGCCAACCAGTTAAGGATACTCCACTTCTTTTTGGAAATAGGCTCATTTTACAACTCCCCCAGAGTTAAACGGTTGGGTTTTACCGTTTTCGAACCATTCAGACGATTTTCTGACGTTTAGAAGAATATCAGTAACCAGACCGTTTCTGGTCCCATTGACCTCTGTAGTATATTTTTTTCTACTATGGAAGTCAATGGGACTAACCTGGGAAAACCCAGACAACTTCCGGCAAATTTAGATTTGCTCTAAAAGAGCTCATTCAAGCCCATTTCCAATCCGTCGAAATTGCGGCACCAATCAGAAACGTTGGGCCGCGTTTACACGATGACGACAGCGCCGAGATTTTGAAGCAGATTTTGTAGCCTACATTACAAAGATGGATGCCGACGTCGAACATCACTCGTTCGAATCAGCTATCGCGTCTGTTTTAAGCGATTTGAACGTTTCCTTTTTGTTAAAAACCGAGCAAAGAACAACACTCGGAGATGTTTCTCCGCCGGCCGCCGCTCTGCATACGTCATCTCCTTCATTGCTCTGATTGGTTTTAGGTCTATCTGAGACATCCGTTGGTGAAAGGATTGGTTTATGACGCTTTGCCAGACCATAACTCAGTTACAACTGATTCAACTGGTTCTACTGATAGTCTGGTTATTGATATTCTTCTAAATATCAGAAAATCGGCTGAATGGGTTAGAAAATGGTAATGGTTTTTAACTCTGAGGGAGTTTTAAATTGAGACTATTTCCAAAAAAAGTGGAGTATCCCTTTAAAGCAGCACTAAGCAGTTTTTTTTTTACCTTAACTGAATAGCTTCGGAGTTATTGCAATGGTTATATGTGTATTTTTGGGTTGAATGTTGGGCGTCTCGCGTGATATCAGGTCTCGCATAACGAATTGCTTTACGTCAAGAAAGATCTGCTAAAATGAACATCAGACAGAAATAACCCGGCGCCGTATACATGTGGTGTTCGAGGCGCATACAATACAGACTGCCGAGAGTTCAACAGGGCGCAGCTCTTAAAGGGGCCACACCTTATTTCCACTCGTTA